CTTATAGATAGTTACAGGGAGACTCAGCCCCTAAAGGGTACCTTTATCAGGCTTCAGGTATATCAAAGGGTAGGGAATTGAAGAGTTGAAGTATAGGAAAGGGCAGGAAAATCTATCATTTAAGTTTTTTAAAACAGGTTCCCTTACTTGTGTAAATTAAGACCGTAGTTGTTCAGAATAGTGATTATATCGTATCAGCAAAAACCTGCATTTTCCATCGATTCACTCAACAGGTATTTGTCGCAACTGCCGGGTTAATCTTGACATGCAGAAAATAGGGGAGCTGCCCACAAAGCTTCCGGAGACCAAGAACCTTTCTTACGAGGAAACTGAGACCATTGAGACTTCTGTAAGTTCTGAACTGGCACTCAATGGAAATAGTGTTATTAACAGTGGCACCAAACAAGGCCCGCGGGGCAAAAAAGATAAAAAAAAAAAAATGGATAGGGACCTTATCATCACAAAATCTGCATGAGCGGGCCCCGTTTCCTTACTGCCTTTCCTTGAAATGTAACGAATAGGGATAGAGAGCACAAATTAACCGATTTCGTAGACCTCAGACTGTGTGCTGGTATCCAAGAACAATGCCATATGCTTATTTTGTGCCTTCTACGTCAGTTTTTCCTGAGTTCCGCAGATAATGAAGAGGTTTAATACCCCGTGCATTTTATGTCGCCCTTGCGTCTGCACACAGTTGAAATTTATTTAGCGGATTTTCTATTTTTATTCTCACCAAAATCTGAGAACTTGAAGCAGTGGCAACAAGTTAAAGACCACGTAGTCCGCGATGGTAAGCTGAGGCCAAATTGTTCTTTTAAGAATAAAGGGTTCATTTAAAAAAAACTGCATTTTTGCTTCCACTTGCCCCCACCTACACACACGCATCCCTCCACCTTATACCGCCAGGGATACGAGTTCATGTGATTTTCTCAAGGTTAAGGATACGGTGAATAACGCCCAGAAAAACGTTTCGGGTTTCCAATATACCACTCCGGGTTCCTTTACTACTCGCTTTAAAGTTCGTACTTATTTGTCATAATGAAAGGTATTTTATGTAATAAATTAGGCACTTTTTATCATAAATGAAGGCAGCAAAAAAGGTTTTATTTTTAGTCCATAATAAAGGCAACAAAGATCAGGAGGGATTATTGATCTTTGTCTAAGTGTTGGTTAACTTTGATAATTATGTACCCAATTAATTTTTTTTAATACAGTTTACGTTATATTTATTTTGCGTCCTTGTCTAGGGCGTGATGTGTAACCTTCCAATTGCTGCAAGTACTCCTTGTTCGGTGGTAGCACATGACTTACTAGAGCAAGAAACGTCATTATATTTACCATCAACCCTCCTAGAAGAAACCGAGACAAGCACTACAGGAATGAAGTCGGAAGAACCTATTGACCACCTTAGCGCAAAGCCAAGCAAGCGGTTTCAGCTGTTCTTGGTGAAATAGCGCCTAATGATCTAGATCTTCTCTGGGAATCTATTATGTCCTCAAAACAAAATGAAACTGGAAATCACACTTGTTCTAGTGGTTTGGATAAAGAATTGATGTACACGCTGGCAAACTGCTACAAAAATGCAAACGAAAGGGATTCTCGCAGGCAGATATTGTCCATAATGGCTGATAAGGTTAGCTTGGCAACAATTCAACAGTGAATCCCAGGCCTGACAAGTTATCGGTTTAAGGTCGCCAGGCAGCATGATGCAGTCCATGGCAGTGGAAAACTGGTGCCTACCAATGCACAAACGAAGTTATTCATACCTGAAGCAAAATTAGCGCATTTCCTAGACTTTATCACAAGCTCCCATGTAATTCAAGATCTTCCATTCGGAGCCAAGACAATAACATTGTCAACTAACGAGGTCGTCCAAGTTCCAAATGTGGTACGGAACATGATACCTGAACGAATCGTTTGCCAGTACCAAAAATATTCTGCCGAGCATGATTTCACACCCATGAGTCGCAGTACACTGCTAAGAATTCTGCATGTTTGTTCCACTTCGACTCGCAAGTCATTGCAAGGGTTAGATTACGTAAGCTGTTCTGGTGCGCAGGCATTTGAAGATCTTGTGAACGTTGTGCACCAGCTCGGGGAAAACGGAATGGGTCTTACATGGGCAAAAACACAAAAGGAAGCTTTAAAGGAGGCAAAGCGGTACCTCAAGACTGATTTCAAGGTAAAATAAGAAAGTGAAAAAGGGAAATAACTTTGTTGCGCGCCTGGCGTAGGTGTATTATGAATGTTACTCGACTGCCTACTACATGAGTGCTCTCTAATTGGTTACTGCTCGCGTCTAGGTAGGTGAATAAGGGTGGATTCCCACTGTCGCGTAAATTTCACGTGCATACACACGTAGCTTTTAGGCGCGTAATTTAAATAGAGGCAATGTTTGAAAGGTCGCACGTAAACGTAAAAGTTGAGCGAGGTTTAGCTTTTACGTTTACTCGTGGCATTCCATACGTTCTTCTATTTTATTCACACCCTTAACCCTATTTAGACCGGGAAAGGTTTGAAGCCCCCTTTGCTTAAAAGTTGATTAATTTCGAAACCACTCAAGCTTTGAGCACCAAACCCAGCGACTTTTCCTAAAAATCATCTGGGGACATTTTAAAGTCGTCGTGACTTGTACGTCAGCATTGACGTTACCATGGCAACCGAGTTTTGAGAGCCATATTTTCCAAAACTTGCTGTTTTACTCATTCAATTATACCCTTACACCGTTCTCGTACGCCGTCAAGAAATGCATTGTTAATATTGTGATTCCGTGACTGATCGACTCCCGAATATCACGTTTAGTCACGAAACAAAGAGTTTGGCGTTTCAAAATGGCCAAAACGCACCCAGTTTTGCTTTTCTATCTTACTCTTTAAGTAGAAACGCAACTTTGCAACTGTAAAACCTACAAGGATTAAGAAAAATGAGTATTTGGGGATCAAATATCCACTTTCATGGATTTCGAAACTGGAAGTGTTTACACAATTACTGCCGACCCACCATGAAAATCCCTTAACTTCGATACCGCCTTATAGAGATTTCCTTCAATAACCCAAGCTAATTCCCAGGTATGTTTTAGATGTATGTCTAAATGTGGGATTTAACTAGAATGAAGTCAATTTGGAGTTATACCACATGTGCAACATTGCCGTCGAAAATCAATAACAAAACGGAGTTTTTGTTATCCATAAAACCTATTCCTCATTTTTGAATAATTTCTTCTAGTAAAAGAAGCACAGTGATTCTGTTGAAATAAAGTGTCCAAATTTCTTCGTGCGACTTTGTTTGCGAACGAGAGGCAAGTTGATGTATGCAAATTTCACGTAAATGATTAGCCAATTTTGTGACTCCGACCACAAAAACCGATATTCTAATTTTTCTAAAAAATAAAAAGCTTTTGGCGGGAACAATCCACATCAGGTATCTTATCTACCTAAAAGCTACTTATGGACAAAAAACGAAAGAAAGCGATTTTTCAACTCTTGCCACGAAATTAAGATTTTGGTCGATATTTCCTGACCGTCGCTCTTAAAGGGGAATGGGATCGGTTGGTAATATTCTCAGCTCCATCTCCAGCGTCCAAAGTGCAGCTGTTCCGTCTCTTCTTCCGATTTCCCCGTTCCTATGGCTGCTCTCCTCTTCGCACAAAACGAACGTAAAAGTGCAGCCGTTCGGTTTCTTCCTTCTGCATACACTTAGAATTCCTGAGTTTCGGCAAGCTCTACGCTTGTGTTTTACAAAGAGGAGAGCAGCCATTTAGACAGACGAAATAGAAGGAAAAAAAAACGAACGGCTGCACAATTAGCTCCTATTGTAGAAACCTATTCTGCGTTTATATACTACCATACTGCTCATCGAAAAGAATCGCCGTAAAAGCAAAGATCGCAAGTAGTTTGGAAAAAAGGGTAAAAAAACTGGCGGGGTGTTCGCAAATTACCCCGAGGATAACCTCTCAGTGAAGAAGTTTGAGTTTCTGATCAATTGATCGGTAAAAATTCACCGATACCGATCGTTAATCCCGTGGTATTGACACAAGATCCTTTAAACTTCTGATCTTTGCTTCAGAACACTTAGCCATGACACTTTCTATTCCCCCGTTAATGAAAACGCAAGTTACGTAAAAAGGCCGAGACGTTTTACAAGATGAGTTTATTTGGCTACGCATTTCAACCAACACCCTTGTTTCGATTGGAACGTGATCTGCACGTTAATGATGGTTTGTAATTGTTTCTTAGGTGACAAGAAGACGTAGACATGAAGTGTAATCAATCTCGTGCCTTCCTTTGTTCTCTTATGATACTTTTTGCTTTATATCTCCTGAAGTAAAAAAGACACCAAAAGAGGGAGAAAACGCAAAATTGCAGATAGCGAGGAAAATGCCTTTGTAACCCCTATTTTTTCCGGCGTTTTAAATGCTCGGCAGGACACATTTCATAAACTGTACAAATTTTGAGAGATTTCACTGAAGCAAATTATAGAAAATCAAAAGCAAGGCCAAATTATCACTGGCGGGCACCTCTCTTCATGGAGCCTTAGCTAAATAACGGAAATCATATTGGTAATATTTACTACTGCAAACGATAGTCCAAATCTTGCTCATCGCCTTTTGATGGCTTTAGTGACCATAAAAAGCCAAAACAAAAATTTTCCAGAAAAACAACGATGGCGCGGGCCCTTTAGAGCTTCCTTAATTTGTTTTTAAAAAGCCTTACCACTCAGTAAAAAAAATACAGCTGTTAGGTTTTTTTTAATAAACGGACACTTAATTTATTGTGACACGAAGGGTTCTATTTGGCCCAATATTAGTTCCAACTCATTGCCTGCTCTAACTACACAAACACCTTGGATAAAATTACCGTGATATTTACATAACTTTTCAGCTGTTCTTATTTCGTTTTATTGCAAAAGGTTGAGCCCTTCTCCTTTGAAACACTGTTTTTTTTTTCTGCGATAAAACTATTTGCCTCAACTGATTTAGTTTTAAGTTTACAACGATTGACATGTCGGCAGTGAACGAAAGCCTGAAAAATACGTCCGAATTCGCAAAACGCTTTCCTTCCAAATCAGAAGGCATCGCATTATGCAGCGTCTTCATGTTATCTTCGGTCCTAATCATTGCAGGAAGCTTGCTCGCTCTTGTTCTCTTTGCAGTTAACAAAACACTTCGTAGGAAAAGTTTATTCCTAGTTATGAACATGGCGTTTGCTGATTTGATGTTGGGAACTATCTCCGTACCCTTTTACATTTACTTTGTTGGAGATGCCTATCAGCTTTGGACAGCAAAATTCGGCTTTCATCTAGTGGTCTTCAGATGCATCGATGCCACTTTTATGTTCGGCTCATATCTATCTGCAGCCTTTATATCCTGTGAGAGATTTTTTGCTGTATGTTGGCCGTTTCACCACCGATCACTGTCCGCCAGGACATACTACATCACCATTTTCATACTTTGGATACTCGCTGTCTTTCTGTCTTCAATTCTAACTTTGTTAGGTGTCTTTAGTTCATTTAAATCTGCTTTGTACGTGGTAGTCATCGTCCAATTGTGTCTAACAATCATAATATGTGTCTGTAACATTGGTATCTGGATAAATTCTAAACACGGAAGGTTTACTTCACAACAACAAAACAGAGCCTCGCGAAGCAAACGCTTAACAAAGACCCTACTTTTTGTATCCATGTTGGCTTTAATAACCTGGCTTCCCTTACTTATCATAAACATTTTAATCTGTATAACTGGGGAATCACTATCACATCTGGTTAATTTTGTGGTGAACATTTTAAACTATTCCAACTCTTTTTTCAATCCAGTTGTGTATATATTTAGAATTCCTGAATTTAAGCAAACGCTACGTTTGTCGTGCACTAAGAAGGGAACAGCCACGAAGACAGGACAAATCGAAAAAAAATACCGCACTACACTTAGAACGCCGGAGAAAGAGCTAAGAAAATATCGCACCGATCCCACCCGGCTGCAAGTCGTGTTTGACCAAGAAGATATGGAGACTCAATTTTAATTAGTTGTGACAAGAGGACCATTTGGCTTTGATGCTATTTAGTGAGGTACAATAGAAGCAAGAGTCAGAAATATGGCGTCTTCTCGGAAAATACGATAATTGCCTGCTTCAAGTTTATTACTTGCCACAGTACATTTTTTTTGTGTGTGTTATATGGTATCTTTTCGTTTTTTATCAAAAGAACTGCATGCCTGATTACATATGGGTCTGTGCGGAAGTCTTGCCTCAATTTTCATAGCTGATGTCGCAAAAAGGTGATATCGTTAAGATAGCATTGTCACATAGGACTTTAGGGGAGGCCTAAAGGAAGGAAAGAAACTCTTAAATTAAAATCTTAAGACCGTGAATTGGTCATACTTATATCGAAGGTCATATTGTGGGACACAATTGTCTGTTGACTCACTCTCGCCGGCAGTGTTTGATATACAGTTCTATTAACTTTCAATGACTGACTTTGGAAAATTGGTTTACTAACTCAAAACTGTGAAATCCTGAAGAGATAACAACACCTACCAACGCCCTACCGACAACTTCGAAACATTGACATAGAAAAACAGAACTACCTGACTTTTCCGACCGATCGAAACTGGCCAATAAATAACGAATACCGCTGGAATCTGACAGCCAATAGCTATAAGCAAAAAAAATTGAATGCAAAATATTCTGTTGCTTTATTCCTATCATATCCATGTGCAAATCGGTTTTTATTCCCTGCCCATTCAATGCATTTTTCGTGACGAATTGAGAAGTCTTCGTATAAAACACGTCGATTTCAGGTCTTTTTTTTAGCAAGAATGATGAGCGTATTGGCTCATAACAAATTAAATAGCTTTCTTATTTACTTGTAACGAATGTTGAAATGTTTTGTGAAAAACTCGTTGATTTTGATTGTTTGTGTCAAAATGATATTCTTATTTGCACGTAACGAATTGCGAGGTTTTCGTATAGAACGCGTAGATTTTGACTATTTTTGTAAAAATTGACGTAGTTAGTCGCTCGTTACGAGTTAAGAGGTTTTTCATAAAACAGGTTGATTTTGGCTTTGTAAGAAGTTATGTACTTATTTGCTCGTAACAAATTGAAAAAAAAAATTTATAGGACGCGTTATATTTGTTATTTGTAAAGTGATGTACCTATTTCTCGTAATGTATGGAAAAGTTTTCGTACAAGACACGTTGATTTTGTTTCGTTGGTGTTTTACTTTTTGTCAGAAATGATTCAGTTAAAAAAAAAATAGTTGAGAAAGTGCATTCATGTTATCGCTGCGAATATAAAATGCAAAGCTGGTATGTCGTAGGTTTGTGTAATCTAAATAGAGAATAATACATTGGCGCGCGTAGATATGAAATTTCTCTTCGAGTGTTCAACTCGATAGCTCACGTGTGAGCGCAGCGAACGAGTGAGATGTCGAGTTGCACACGAGAAGAAAAAATTCCATATCTACAAGCAACCATGTATTATTTTGTTTATCATATAAACACAATAGCCCTTTACTGAGAAGAAAAAACCGACTACATTAATGAATGAAAATAAATGAATCGACAATCCCCGAATAACAATCGTGGAGTGCGTGGCGCTAACTCTTAAGATGGAAAAATGCTTTGAATCATGATTACAAAAACAACAATAGTCGTAATTTTCAACAAAATTATCAGTTATTTACTTTGTCTTTTCTGACAGAAGAAGTCTTTCCGGTAAACGGCCAAAATTGGCCTGTGGCAAATCTTCCAGTTGTCGGTTTTCATTCTCAGCCGAGAGAAATGCTAGCACCAAAGCCACTGAACATGTAACTTTCGGTTTTTCTTTTAGTATATTGGTTTCCTTCCCCTTCTAAGAAAATTTGAACCTCACAGTCTGTCAACACTACGGATTTTTTGGTTTTTTAGCCGCCGTAATTCGAGAAAGCTCCGACAAACAACTTGTATTGAGAATCGTGAAGGCTTTGCTGTTCATTCATCAACCTGACCTAATGGCGCAAAAGGCGAGTGACGTATCAGCAGCTGATTGGCTGCATCAACATACGTGAAAAAATGCGATATTTTTTTACGCGTGTTGCTACGGCTTTTCTCAGAGCCGGAAATCCCTGTATAACCCCGCAGTTTGCGTGATAATTTCTTTTATTACTTCCTCGAGCTCTAAAGTTAACTTAACTTTGGAGCTCGAGGAAATAATAGATTTCAAAAACTTGCGACATACCAGCTTTGCACTTTGCATTCGCAGTGATAACATAAAAGTACTTTCTCGACTAATTTCTTTTTTTTAATTTAAGTTGCTTTCATCAATCGGTTATTGAATTTTAACATCACAAGGATTATCTGTTTGCTGCTTTATTTAACGTTTATTTAGTTTACAAAAGTTAAGCTCACAGAACGTAAAAATCAGTCTGCAATTGAGCTAAGATATCACTGGTTGCTCTTTGGGTCATGCCTGTGGGTTTTAACTAATATCCTAGTATGTTAGAACAAATGGCAACTAGATCTTTTGTGCTGTCAGTAGTCAGTTGGTGTAACACAGTAATGAAAAAAACATACTTCATTACAATTTTTGGTGTGAGTCTAAAATTGAGTCTAATTGTTTGAAAATAATATTTCCTAGTTTTAGATGCTTAATCTAATTCAAAGTGGTTTCGTTTCACAATTGAAATTACTTTATTTCTGAAATCTCTTTGAAATATAGTTTATAGATCACAGAGTCTCGACGTGAAATCTCTTGTGACTGAAATCCAATTGAAAGAGTAGAATAAATTAATTATAAATTGGCCAATATTCCTTATATTGTCTCCAAAATTCATTGTTTAATCTCGGATACTTTAACTTCGATTGGAATTTTTTTTAATTTGGCTCAGTGACGAACCTGAGGCATAGATTTTTCACTGCGTTGTGAATTCGAAGCAAAACTCTTGATAATTATTTTTCGTTCTTTGTCCTGTGTTGCATTCGAAACCTGGCTGCTTTCAAGATCTTTTTGTCCGAAAAGTATCATGGCAAGTTATGGGATAAAACAAAATGACGGGATGTATAACATGAACCGTTGAACCATCTGATTGAAAAATAATAATTCAATTTTCGCATTTCCGATTTGATTATTTATATCTTGCCGTAGTACTTTTCATTTCGAATGTTTACAAATCACCTCATGCAAGAAATTCAATACCCACAATTATCACTGAGAAATCGGCAAAAGCAACTCAGAATCAGCTGAAAAGGGATTTTTTCCTGCAAATTTCATGATTTTATTGAAAAGGAAAAATAGAAACGGACGCTCAAATTTCAATTTTCTGCACGAGATGCTGTTTTTCATGATTTTTGGCGGAAAATTCAAAGGACAGCCAGATTAATTTTTTACCACAAGAGTTGCCTAGGGAAACGCTACGCAAATTGTCCGAAATTTTCCCGCCAATATAAGCACTTTTTGATTAAAAGCAATTACTTATATAGTTAACTTGTAATTTAATTAGACGTTAATAAAATTAATTACTGAATCAGACAAGTGTGCTTTATTGAGCGTAACACTAAACGATTACACAAAAAAAGCGATCACGTGAAAACAGCAAGTGAATGAAAATCAAGTTTATTGACAATGTGAATAAAAAATCGAGGCTGAACTTCCAAAAAAAAAAAATATCAGCGCATGCACATTTTTTCCAAGTCTTTTGGCGGGAAAACTCGCCACATTTAAGCACCTGTTACTTACAGAAACAATAAAGAAACTGGCGTATGCGTTCTATATGCGTATTTAGGCGGGAAAATTTACATTGTTCGGGCGATACATTTTAAAATCGCGAAACAACATTGGCTTACGTTTTTCTTACGTTTTGCTTACGTTTTAATCTGCGATCTGATTCAGCAAATTCTTGAGGAAAATGTCATCGTCTGAATGAATCTTGTTTTCACCTGCTTGTTACTCTCTTGCTTAATTCCTGGTTTACACTTTCCTCTCAGTGTACAAGAAAATGAAAATAAACGATAAATCAGCAAATGCTTTAGATCTTAAACCTCGCTGTTCTAAAATATGAGGCTGAAAGTTGACTGTAAGTTACTGATTAAAACTGAGCTAAACTGATATTTTCTGTTTAACACGACGAGGTTTATCAGAAAGCTGGGGTCGTGTATCTCAAATAGTTAAATTTGTTTAAAACTATGCACAGCTAGCAACGAATGCATTGTGAAGACGACAATTTAAGATATGATATATATACAGTCCTAAAGATCAATTTTAAATAACATTGTATTGTTAAAATTCATGATTGTTATCTTTCTTTTAATGACGGCGACAGAATAATCAAAAGTTGTTGCTTCTAATTCTTCATTTTATGTGCGCTTGAATTCTTTATAATTTTGGCTGTCAATGCCTTGTTGGATAGACTTTTGCACGCAAGCTATTGCTCCTCTGGATCAGATAGATTATTACATCATCATACGACCAACCGTCCATGCAAGGTGTTTAAGCATGCGTTGCAAATGTGCTGCGGGCACAAATCTTTGCATTAAAAATGTGTCAGTTCCGAACAAATTTGAGATTTGGGATGTTAGTCACTTGGTATGTTTGAATTCAAATACGTGCAATCACCACTCCTTGAGCAGAACTCACGTTTGTTAACCCACGATGATATGAAGCTTTCCGTTATTCACCCTTATCCTAACTCTTACTAATCACGTTCTTTTCGCCTCTAAATCTTGCCGCTGTAGAAGGCAAATCAGTTAAAGTTGTAGTCAGTATGGACGCTATCCTACTATCATATCTCAGCTTGCTGACCCTTGAGTTAACATTTCAATCCACTATCTCTAAATTCACGGCGTTCTGTGCCTTCAACCTGCAATCATAAATTGAAGCAAGCTGCGTAAACCAAAGTAACTGGCTCATCTTTCTTAATTATTTACGTTATGGGGGAACCACAGCACGATTCATTTACGATAAATGTTGTGATCGTTACGGTACTTTCAGTTAGTTGGAACAATGATATATCTAAATGTCACCATTCAAGAGTGAGTTGACCTCATGTTTAAGTTAATCGATTTGGTATTACTATTGACTCAGAACAGTATGGTATTATTTACGATGTAAAAGGTCAATGATCTGTATTATAAAGCGAACAACTGTCCACCGAAGTGGAAGTGGCTGGTGTTGAAAGCGGCAGGGTAAATATCATCCACCAGCCACCAACACCTGGGTGAATAGTTGTTTTAGTATGTGCCAAAACAGTGAACGGATAATATACCATAAAAAGATGATTTTAACTCATGTATTCCTCTAAAGATTACAGTATTTCGGGCGCAAATCCCGCGCAAGTTCCTCAGAGATGAATAGCAAAGTATATTCGGAGTTAGAGTAACCAGTCACAGCGCACCTTCAACGCTATCCACTGCTTTAGTATATGCTAAGACTTTTTGTCCTCGTCGAGCGTGTTTAGTAAGTTAGAATGTATTGTAATCTATGTTTCTGTTTGAACCGACAATTCAATTGCTAATTCAGTCTACAACTCCACGACAATTGTCTGCAATAGGCCTACAAAATCTACGTTACATACAACCAACGGTATCTAGTCGTTTCGTACTCATAATCATGGACGTTTCTTACTCATTCGATCACAATCAAAGTTACCCTGTTTGTGTCGATTCATATTCAATCCATGGGTCAAATATAAGTGACGATGAAAACCCCGGCCAGCAGATGTCTACTGTTGCGTGCGACCGGTTGATTTTGATTCTGGCAAGCGGGTAAAATACAAATAAAATTCGATTGAGTCTATTTGTGGCTTTATTAAAAAAAAAACAAAACAAAACAAAACAAAACAAATAAATCATTGCTAACGTGTTGTTCTTGCCGCTCCAACATAAAATTCATATCTTCTCGCCTTCGTGTAAAATCCCTAAGTATTTTTTGTAACATGACAAGATATCGTATTAAGACAGGAGAAATGAAATACATGTAGAATACTTTCATGCTAGGGTTAAATTCAGACTTTATGTACATGTACCTCTAAAGGGGAATCGATCTCTAGACAACAAAAAGGTTCTACTGCAACAAAAAGTAATCAAACAGGTAGTAAATAATCATATTTTGCGATTAAAATTTTTTATGTTCAGACTCTATTTAAAAGGGAATGCGGTCGGTTGGTAATATTGTTAGCTCCATCTCCAGCGCCCAAAGTGCAGCTGTTCGGTCTCTTTTTCCGATTTTCCCGTTCCTGGCTGCTCTCCTCTTTTCGTACAACACGAACGTAAAAGTGCAGCCGTTCGGTTTTATTCCTTATAAATGCGCTTAGAATTCCTAAGTTTCAGCAAGCGTTTTTTTGTGTTTTACAAAGAAGAGAGCAGCCATTTAGACGGACGAAATAGAAGGAAAAAAACCGAACGGCTGCACTTTTAACGCCAGAGAAAGAGTCAAAGATAGAACGAACTGATCCCACTCGCGTGTAAAAAAGTTTAACGAGAAGATCTAGATATATATGGAAACTAATTTGCGATCTGCTGACAAAAGAGAATCACTGATAATGAGTAGTGAGACACATTAGAAACAGGAGTCATAAACATGGAGTATTGTCAAAAATACAATGGTTTCCAACCTGTTTGTTAACTTACTGTTACAGAAGAATCTATTTTTTTTTTTTGTTTAGAGATGCTTTTCCTATCCAGGAGTACTGAAAAATACTGTTCATTTATTCTGTTTGAGTGTGATATCTCATAAAATTCTTAAATTATGATTGATTGTAGCCCAAATTCCAAATGGGGGAGTTCCTATTTCAAGGCTTTCAGAACTTCTTAATCGCCTGCCTATGGCATGTGCGCCTTCAAAACATCCTTATAACCATATGCAAAAGAATTTAAATTGAATTCAGAGGAGTGTTGAGCGGTCCTGCCTCGAAAGCAGAATGAATTGCACCCCTCGTTCCCTTTTTCTGTTGAATCAAAATTGAAGCACAGTTGTTCTGTTTATCATAAAGATAATGATCACGTACTTTTTGATTAGACAGTTTTAAAACGTATTTTACGATCACTGAATGCAGTAAACACTGTCAGGTAAACTCAGCTCGTTTGAAAGCTACTTCAGTAAAGTCTATTTCGGAAAAATGGAATTTGAGTAGTGGAATACAATTCAAGAAGGTGAAAAATTGCCTAATGTTCGTGTAGTGCAATTATTGGGTATGTTCTGATTGGACTTTGGTTTCCATTGTACGTAATGGAATGTAAGTTACATAAGGAGCGGGAAAAACTCTTTTTAACTAAAAAAAGACCCAAAAAAAGTTAAATGCCAACCCTTCATATTCCGATACATCTCCACGGCTTAATCGACGAGGTTCTCGTGAAGGTCACAAACCATGGCAATTCTCAAACGAGCCCAAAATTTCTGGTTAACGTCTTTCTTTTTGCACATTCCCTTGATCCATGATATCATTTGCAAGAAAAAAATATGCAAACGCTGTGATGTCCAAATACGGTGATAGGATTGGTTTGAAATTCACACTCTAATGCAGCTATCTGAGTGGTGCGAAATAGATACCTTAATGCGGCAATCTGATTGGTGCAAGACATATATCCCAACACGGTGATCTGATTGGTGCGAGCAACAGACCACTTTACACGCTAAAAGCAAATCCGCCATTTTGCCGAACCTGGTCGCCATGACGACAGTGTTGTCTTCACTCGTAAAGAGATGAATTATTCGTCCACTGAAGGAAAAGTAAAAAGAGCAAAAAGTATAGAGAACGCTCAATAATAATAATTTTCTTAATAATTTTCTTAATAATTTTCTTAATAATTTTCTTAATAATTTTCTTAATAATTTTACCATCAACTTTAAAAAGGTTCGATTCAAGAGGGTTTTAAGTTCCTTTTGTTCCAGCGTCTGACACAGGGAAAAACATTACTTCCGAAGGAAATTAAGCCAAGAAAACGTGTAGAACAATTGCTTGTAGTTCCGATGCTATGACTGACATGGCATTATGAGTAGACCATTTACCTGTCCACGAGAGTGTTTTAATACCTGTAAATTGACCAAAACTTTAACCATAAGCCGTAAAGGCTATTACACCTGCCATTGAAACTCTACTTTAAAAGCAACTAGACGGCAGTAGTCAATTAGCTCCTATTGTAGAAACTTATTCTGCGAAAGTGTTCTGTCATTATCCTGTTTGAGGGAAAACGAACCGGAATGTTTTATAATTACTACCGTACCGCGCATCGGTCGCCGTGAAAGCAAAGATCGCAAGTAGTTTGGAAAAAAAGTGTTAAGAAACTGGCGGGGTGTTCGCAAATTACCCCGAGGATAACTTCTCAGTAATTTTTGTTAAGAACTTTGAGTTTCTGATCAATTGATCGGCAAAAATTCACCGATACCGATCCTTAATCCCGTGGTATTGACACAAGATCCCCCGTTTAAACTTCTGATCTTTGCTCCAGAAGACTTCGCCACGACACTTTCTATTCCCCCGTTAGTAAAAAGCTAAGTTACATAAAAAGGCCGAGACGTTTTACAATATAAGTTTATTTGGCCACGCATTTTAATCAGCACCCTTGTTTCGATTGGAACGTGATCTGCACGTTAATAATGGATTGTAATCGTTTCTTAGGTGACAAGGACACCATCACCTTTTGACGGCTTTTAGTGACCTTAACAAAAAAAATATAGAAAAACAACGATGGCGCGCGCGAACATTGTGCAAAAACCCTATAGAGCCTCCTCAAGGCGGGGGTAAACCTGAAAAAATGCCCATTTTTCACTCATTTTTCACAGCTAGGACTTACTTCAAAACTTAGGCAAACTATATATCCCTGGAAAGCTTATGACTTGAAGATCATGAAAAAAAATATTTCAGACTCAACATGTCTATTGTAATAGGATACCACTCGTTTAATTGAGCCACCTGCAGGGTTCTACCAGGGGTTACTTAAGAAAAGATAACTCCTTCTGGAATTAATAAAAAATAATGTTTTTAGTATCAATTCAAAGAAGACATGTTGCTTATTGTTATAAGCAGAGGAATTTCTAATAAGTTGAAAACATTTTAAATGATGATCAATTAAATTTGACATGGAAAATCAGAGGGGTGTTTCACTTCATAACTTTAAGTACATACATCATATGGAAAATTGCTCTGTTTATAACACAAAACTTATCAAAAGGAACAAATGCTGAAAATTTCAGATCAATTGGATAAATTGTTGTCAAGATATCTTTTCTTGAAGACAAAATTTTGCGTAATGAGAAAATAGCCTTTAAACTTACAGATAGCAATCAAACTTAATTTTTTACAATATGTAACCACTATAGTGGCCCAAGTGTCCATATTTTGTCCACAGGAGTATCTAAAAGTAATTTAAAAGCCTCCTGGTTCATAAGTAACTCCTTCAGCTTCTTGAAGGGCTTCCTCTCGATGAGTCCTCAGAAGTCGCTTCCCTTGACGCCATCTCTTTTCCTTCTGCATAACCTGCAAATTGGACTTAGCCAATCTTTTACTGTCTTTTGCATGTGTTGCCACTCTTGTACAAACACCACCAGGGATACAAAGCCTCTCCATGATTTTTAGCCTGCTAAAAGACTCGGCGGTTAATGTCATATGATTTCCCTAACTGGGTCACACCACTGGATGGTGGAAGTGGACTGGATTCCTCACAGGAACTACACTGAAGGGAAAACTGTAACCCCCACTCTTGCACTTTTATCTTCCTCAAGAGTTAAGGTGCCTAAAGACAAATCAAGTGAAAATTGTAAGATAAATCGGGCAATTTTGTTATAAGCAAAGTAAAGACCTCAAGTCAGAAATACACATTCTGTGATTTTTCCCCATAATTTTTTGTTTACAGTGTATATGCACAATACCTAAAAATCGTTCTCTTACCCAATCCAAGATTTAATAGATAAATCAGTGTATTTAGCAGGGAAAAACTGGAACTATGGGTCGATATGATATGGGAAATAAGTCATAATCGAGAACAGAGAAAGACATAGATTTAAAAAAATTTCTCACCTTTCTCACACACGTGTGCCTTTGAGACGGCCGTGGATAAATTTTTCTCATTTATTAATCTAAATCCCTCGCTTTCCCCGGTATTGAAGGTATACTCTTCATCAGAGCTGTCTAAAAGAAGCGGCATATTTCATTTTCTTTCTGGAGGAACCAACGGTTTCTTTAGAGTCCGAGTCGGAGAGCTGATTTTCATCCAGCGAAGTGCTCGGAGTTGAGGCGGCGATTTCGTCAACATCGGGAGCTGTTTCTTCAGACTCTTGTTTCTGTTTTCGCCTTCCAGAAAAACTTCTCTTTCTTTTCTTCCTGTAGACAGATCTACTTTTCTCTCCGACAATTTTCGATATAACTTTTCCTTTGATTATAACTTTTCCTTTGATTGCTCCGAGTACACCGAGTGTCACATTCGACCAAAACTGCCTCTAAATCTATCCCATAATGGTTTGACCCTAGAAAACCGCTCAGATAAGACTACATAAAGTATCTCTCGTTAAATCCTGCCCGTTTGGGAGCTTGGTTGCCAGAATAACACATCATAAACAACTGAAAAATCCAAAAAATGCTCTTCTCGTTGCCATGGTAACCACACCATTAGCCAGAGCGGGAATTTTGAAATCGCTCAAAAAGGCAAAAATAGTGAAAATAAGTAGAAAATTATTTTTCCATAGCGAAGTTGAATACCCAAAGCTGCAAATTCCGAGGAAAACAAAAAACTCAGTTTTTGAGCAAATTTCAGGTTTACCCCCGCGCGATTATCTCTCATTGAGAAATGATGACGCCCCAGTCGGCTTTCAAAGCCTTACCACTCAGTAAAAAAAATACAGCTGTTACGGTTTTTGATAAACGGACATTTCATTTATTGTGACACGAGGGGTTCTACGTGGTACAATATTAGTTCAAACTCATTGCCTACTCCAACTACATAAATACCTTGAATAAAATTACTATGATATTTACATAAAATTCCAGCTGATCTTATTTTGTTTTATTGCAAAAGGTTGAGCGCTTCTCCTTTGAAATACTGCTTCTTTTTTTACGATCAACTGTATACCTCAACTCACTGAGTTTTAAGTTTACAATGATTGACACGTCGGTAGTGAACGAAAGCCTGCAAAATGCGTCCGAATTCGCAAAACGTTTTCCTTCCGAATCAGAAGGCATCGCATTGTGCAGCGTCTTCATGTTATCTTCTGTCCTAATCATTGCAGGAAACTTGCTCGCTCTTGTTCTCTTTGCGGTCACCAAAGCACTTCGTAGGAAAAGTTTATTCCTAGTTATGAACATGGCGTTTGCTGATTTGATGTTGGGAACCTTCTCCGTACCCTTTTACATTTACTTCGTTGGATATGACTATCAGCTTTGGACAGCAAAATTCAGCTTCCATCCAATGGTCTTAAGATGCATCGATGCCATTTTTTTGTTTGGTTCATATCTATCTACAGCCTTCATATCCTGTGAGAGATTTTATGCAGTATATTGGCCGTTTCACCACCGGTCACTGTCCACCAGAACATACTGCATCGCCATTTTCATTCTTTGGACACTCGCTGTCTTGCTGCCTTCATTTCTAACTCTGTTCATTGTCTTTAGTTCATTTGAATCTGCTTTTTACGTGGCTGTCTACGTCCAAGGATGTCTTACAATCATAGTATGTGTCTGTAACATTGGGATCTGGAAAAATTCTAAACACGGAAGGTTTACTTCACAACAACAAAACAGAGCCTCGCGAAACAAACGCTTAACAAAGACCCTACTTTATGTATCCATGTTGGCTTTAGTAAGCTGGCTTCCCTTGCTTATCATGAACATTTTAATGTCTATAACTGGGGAATTACCACCACATCTGGTTATTTTTGTGGTGAACATTTTAAATTTTTCTGACGCTTTTTTGAATCCAGTAATGTATACGTTTAGAATTCCTGAATTTAAGCAAACGCTTCTTCTGTGTTGCACTAAGAGGGGAACAGCCACGAAGACGGGAAAAATTGTAGAAAGATATAACCGCACTTCACCTGGAACGCCTAGAACGGAGAAAGAGCTAAGAATATATCGCACCGATCCCACTCGGTTGCAAGTAGTGTTTGAGCAAGAAGATATTGAGACGCGATTTTAATTAGTTGTTACTAGAGAACCATTTGGCTTTGATGCTGAGTAGTGAGGTACATTAGAAGCAAGAGTCAGAAATATGGCGTCTTCTCAGAAAACACGATAATTGCCTGTCTTAAGTTTATCACTTGCCACAGCATAATTTTTTTGGTGTTCTAGGGTATCTTTTCACAGCAGCAGTAATATGGAAATCAATTATGTCATTTCGTTTATCCAACGTAATTAGAATATCTTACCACAAAAGAATAAAACTCTTTGGACTGTTTATTTACACGAGGTCTCACCCAAACCGCAGTTTTACGCAAGCAGCGGGCCTCAGGTATTCACTATAAGAGGATTGATTCAATTACAGATCATGCAATGACAATTTAAACACATTTTAGGACCGCTGAACGCGAAAACAATTGCACGTAGTCCGTGGAAAAGCTACTTCCGCCTCCAACATAACCATTAAACAAATTCTCATCACAAAAGGTCTTTTTCCCTGAATTAAAAGTTGAATCCAGCCTTGGTAACGTCCACAATGTAAAACATAGGCATGCTATGCATGCAAGAGTTATATTTTTGGGGTGGGTGGATTACTTGAAACATTGTAAGTGATGTCAACTTTTTTACAAAAGGAAAGAAGAGTGTTAACGCGGAAAAGAACGAAAATGTCGAATTAACTCACAAACAGGTATTTTGTGGTAGATTGTGTGTGTTGCGCGAATAACTGTAACCAAAAATAAATTGTATTGGTGCCACGGTACCTGTTAGTAAAAAGTGCAGACTGCAGCCTGCAGACCGGATACAAAATGTAGACTGCAGACTGTAGAGTGGGTACAAAATGCAGACTGAGAATCTAAAGAGTTTTTTCGTCTGGTATGTGATAACATGTCATCTTACAACTTACAGAGCGTCACGCAATCGCTTTTCCGTGATTAGCTTTCGCGATTATTTGCGCTATTTTGGAATATTCCTGGCCCATTACTTTATGAAAATCGATCGTTTTATATTCAAGTCTTCACATAGTTTTCTCACTTTACGCACGAGTTGGTTGGTGTGATGTCTGTACAGATATTACCAAGGAATATTCCAAAATAGTGCAAGTAATCGTGAAAGCTGATCGTGGAAAAGCGATTGCGTGACGCTCGGTGAGTTGGAAGATGACATGTTATCACATGCTAGACGAAAAAACTCTTTAGATTCTCAGTCACAATTTTGAACCCACTCTGCAGTCTGTAGTGGGTTAATTCGACATTTTCGTTCTTTTCCGCGTTAATACTCTTCTTTCCTTCAATAAGAATGTAGACATCACTTACATGTTTTAAGTAAACCACCCACCCCCCAAAAAATAACTCTTGCATGCATAGCATGCCTATGTTTTTTTAGTGTGCCAAACGGCAAGCCACGGTTGCGTGCTTGGTTGCCAAGCCTTGGAACAGGAGTGAGACTTAGGTTGACCTTGTTATGATACAAATCTTGCTGTTTTTTAAATGCAAATTACTTTGTTATCATGCTAACTAGATACTGGTCTCTATCACAATACATATCAAACTCATGGGGTACAAATAGTCTTAACATAAATGTAGTGACCACGCCCACTTCAACACCCCACTCAAATCGGGTGAAATTTTCGAATTTTTTACCATCGTGCGGATTCTCTACGGAAAAAGCACTCAATGTACCTCTGAAATATTAAACTATAATATTGTGGCTTTCTATTTCGCTAATTTTCTAACTTGAAGGTTAAGTTTTTCCCTCGTCATTTTTACCTTTTCTCCGAGCGGTTGCGTGAAATTAACAAGGCGTTTTTGATCAAAACACGACCGAGCGAAGGGTCTTGGGCGATATCTCTTTTACGCAGGCGCAAATTAAAAATGTACCGCCAGAATCAAAAAGAAGAACAAATTTCCTTTGTTTTGATATGTAAAGTGTCGAACAAAAAGCAGATTTACCTTCGTCAAATGGCGTTTCAAAACAGCTGTATCTTCCTCCTTTTGATTTTTCCTGTTTTGTAAGCGTGAAAGCAGTAGGAGAGGGATCGGGAAACTCAGAAAGCGCTCCGGGAATTAATCTGCCATCGTTTACTTACAAGATAAACAAGTAAGATTAGTGAAGTTCGTTGAAGTATGAAGTCTAAATAAATGCCCTTTTAAAGCTTGTTTGCTGGATTTTTCGTAAACTTCCCTGATTAATTTTTCGTTTCAGCTTACTAGTCTATGCTATTTCAAAGCAATGTCAAGACGAAGACGGAGAACCATGAGTCGGTCCTTTCAATAATCGTAAACAAAGTGTTTGAGCAATCAGGTATACGAAGTGTAATAATCAATAGCTGCATATCAGAAGTCTTCAGAAAGAAAGTATTCTGTCTTCAGAAAGCTGTCAAGAAAGCTAATAATCGTGGCGGAAAGCAATTAAACGGGCCCTCGGTATCGATTTAATATCATATCGATCTCAATATCATGCAGTTTTGTATCTTTCTTCCGTGGATTCGCCTTTCTAACGAGGGTGTATGTTGAGAATTCATTTCAAAATCGCTTTGTTTTTGTAATTTCCCTCTTTGACCTGTCCGCCATTTTGAAAATTCGTAACGGAGAGCATGCGCATTACTTGGGGTAAGTGGTTGCGTACACCTGGAACCGAGAAAAACAAATGTTCGTCGCACTGGGGAAAGAGTTTGATATGGACCACATTCAGCCTCACTCCAAATAAAAGGCTTGGCAACTAAGTACACAACTGTTAAATGCCATAATCATAATTACCCAGTTTGCTTTTTCCCTCAAAAACAAGAATGCGGAGTTCTCTCCCCTACTGGGTGTCCGCGATCAAAGGAATAACTGTCCTTTCTCTTTACTCTAAAAAATAAAAATAAATTACCGGTCAGTTTTTAAAAACTGCGAAGCTTTTATTCTTTTAACTGATAAACTAAAGAACCCCATTGAAACCTCTCACTGAACTAAACACAAAAATTACCTGAAGAAACGGAGAAATTTCACTACTTTTGCCCTCTACGCGGAAGAAGTATTGATCTGCCACACATGAGATAACAACCATTACAGTGCCATCTTAAGAACTATATTTGCCACGTTGTTCCATCATTTTAGTGGGTTTCAATTTGAAATTTCTACGGTTAAAACTTTATGCCTAGCCAAAAAAGCAACAAGCCCTAAACGGTCCCTTGTATAGACCAGCAGCAACGAGCTGATGTCGATTTTCCACTTTGGATGACAATTTTTTTCTATTTTTCCTAATGAAAATGAATATAGTTTATGCTCTCGAAAATTTTAAAAATGCTTATATTAAACTTAAGCAAAATTTGAGGACGAAAGTTCATCTTCCAAATAAAAACAGTGAAAAAGACCATTACCAATTGTAACTTGTTACAAAAGATAGTGATTGTCTTAGCTTTGAAATTTATTCTAGAAACATTTTCATACTCGTTCTCGATATAGTTTGGTCTAAACGGCGAGGAGCTACTTTGCTCATAGGCACAGAAAAACATTAAAATTGATTCCCTTAACATAGAGAGGAATATAGAGGTTCACCCCCCGAGAGGTGACGACGATTGAAAGTTTCGCATGCAAGTTTAATGAGCTGTCTCGTGGGAAAAACACTAAGCATACTAACCTTTATTGAAAAAAGTAAAGAAGGCAATCACAAAACGAAGGGGAGGATAATTGTCCTTTATCATTACTTTTCCAAATAGAAATAGGTTTCAGAAATATTTTGGCTTGGTTATAGAGGATTCAACCGAAGACACCAAATTATCGCGAGAGGCACGTGCAGACGATGTAACGCGTTAAACGTTGGCTCCTCTCTTTAGAGTTTTGAACAAAACTCAGGATTGATTATCATTTACCTCGGCTTTGTATCTATACCTAATTGGGATAATTTTTTTCAAATTTATTTATTTTTATTAGGTGTTCTTGAGAGATTTGAAGAGAATCCAAAAATTAAAAAAAAATTACAGCTGTTAATAGAAAGGTTGTCGGAAAAAAGGATAAAGTGCACGCGACAATCTCGAAAGGTAATGTGGGTATTTGGTGATCAATAAATTTTAAGTGTAACAAATAAATACGGACAAAAGGACTTATGAGCAGGAAATTAATACCGATGTGCACACGAATTGAATACGATAGAACAAAGCAATAGAATATTACGATGTAAGCATTTTTTTCTTTAGGTCACCTCTTATAATCTTTCCTCGAGCGCAAAAGCTAATGTTATTCAATTTTGACGTCACAAAGATTGTCCTTTTGCTGTTTTATTTCACGTTTCTTTAACATACAAAACTTAAACTCACAGAACATGAAAATCAGTCTGCAATCGAGCAAAAATATCACTTGTTGCTCTTTGGGCCAGGCTTATAGGGGTTTTAACTAATATCGTCATGTTGTTACGAGTGTCAATGTAGAGCAGGGTTGTTCCTAGACAAAACTCAGGATCTTCGGTAACAGCAACAAACTGATTTATTTCCACGTAGTTGACTTCTTGTCTTTATAGCACTAAGCTTCTTCGCAAATCTCTCTCTCTGTTTGATAAATAAAATAAATAAATAAATGACAATTTTATATAGCGCCCTATCCAAAAGCTCTAAGGCGCTTCACAATCAAAGTAAAAAATAAAAATAATCAAACGTAATCATTCATAAAAATAACGCTTAAAAAGATAAGTTTTAAGATTACGCTTAAAAGCGTTGAGATCTACACTACATTTTATGGTTTCAGGAATGTCATTCCACAGCTTAGGTGGAGAGACAGAAAAGGCGCGATCGCCATAAGATTTCAACCTGGAGCGAGGAATCACTAACAAGTTCTTACTCGATGATCGTAAAGACCTAGTAGGCTTATAAGTTTCTAACAAGTCACTGATATAACTTGGGAATAAATTATTTAAAGCTTTAAAAGTAAACATAAGATTTTAAAAATAATCCTCTGCTCCACGGGGAGCCAGTGCAGTTCCCTCAGTAAAGGAGTAACGTGATCATGCTTGCGACCACATAAGATCAGCCGTGCCGCACAATTTTGGGCTAATTGCAATCTATGAACTAAATGTTTGATGAAGCTGTCGCTCTTATATACATAAAGTACAAGAATCTAGAGACTTCTCTAAAGAACTAAATTTAGTAGATTAACACGGTTTCTAAATTTGAATAATTACGTGAGAAATAGAACGTTCCAGAATGTTCTTTTTACCAGAAGGTCACGTATAGATGACTTCGGGTTCTAGACTGTTCTGTAGAATGTTCTAGGACTTAACTTAGACAAGTTTTCGTAACACATGTGTTTAATCTCTTTTGAGTACAAATGGCGACTAGATCTTTTGCGCTGTCAGTTATCAGTTGGTGTAACACGGGAATGAAAAAAAAAACAACCCTGAAATCAGCATAGATATTCCCCATTATATTTTTCATACATTTCCTAAGATGCTAACGAGGAGAATTTTTTTAACAACCAAGAACTTCTTCAGTTGATGATCATATCATTTATTCTCATGACCTTTAGGTGTGACTCAGAGGTGATACTGCGAGGTGAAATTACAAGCTATTTACTCT